AGAATTAGTTAGCCGGGCTAAAGTCCATTCAACGTGTCTTTTTGAATGGGTCAGCCAATGCTAGGGAGCAAAGAACATTCGCTTAAGCAAACACTTTTGTCGCAGTCACTCTCGACCGGAATTCAACTTGCATGAATAGTATGTTCTGTGCATAAAGTTTAAATATATTTGCTATACAGCTTTCTGATTTGCACATATATGTTTGAAGCACGTAATATATCTATACACACGTTTGTGGGCTTGCAATCCCGTTTTGGGATTAATACACTAGTAGCAAGACACGAGAACACCTTTACATGTTTTTGTGTTTTTCCTTCAAGTGACCTTGCTACACTGTCTTTTGGCTGGGCTGTTGATGTGCTCGCAATCTACAAACATGGATGAGGGGTGCAAAGTATACTGTATATGTAAAGTTTGGTGTGATTGAAAACAACATCATGCTACTTCGTGGATTTTTCTTGTGTAGGAACTTGCCTCTGCTTGTTTGCTACGGGTGGGGGGGAAGCGATGTGTTGACAAGCAGGGCAAGCAGTTTGCCAAGGATACCTCCGAATCATCCGGCGTAAAGCCAACGTTCCAGGAACACAGCGACTGAGGAACAGATGGCCGAGGGCCAAAGCTTTGACCACACGCGTTGCGAAATGTCACTGTTGTTTTGACGCCTACAAAGCTGCGAAGATATGTTACCAGAATCAACATCCTTTAGTAGCCCTTACTGTTCTTGATGTTCATGCAAGAACCACATGACATCTAAAGGTGGAGCCGGAAACATGCTTTTGAAACATTCGATGTAAAAACATGTTGCAAAGGCCGCTACAACACTGGTGCCGATACCATGTTTGCATGACGAAGCAGCCTAAATTATCAGCCTAGGCTATCACACCCCGAAGGACACCGCAGCTCAAGTGGCTGCGAAGGCCTGGCCTGGACTCAAGCCATCTTGTTCATTAGATGTAGAACCTGGTTGAATCCAGTGGGCTGCGTGTAAAGGACACGTTTTCTTGCTTGCCTACGATGTATATAGTTGCTTTGAATCCGTTTTACTTGGGGTTTTGTGTGTGTGTGTGTTCTTGCCAGTGGCTTCGTATTGATAGACTGTGGCTGTGTGTGTGCAGTCAACGGAAGTTATTTGGGATCCGATGGAACAATGATGTACAATGCATCCGCGTTCAGGTCTCGGATCGTATGTAGCAATAGTATTGGGATTTCTTAGTTTGCCTTACCCGTTATTCTGCAGTATTTCTGTGTGTGGTAAATCTGCGCGACTTCCTGTAGTGTCTATCAATTTATTTAATATAGAATCCACCTGTTCAATTTCTCAATCTATCTACTGATCCTTACGTCGGACGGCGACGTGGCACAGGTGGCCTCTGAGACGAAGGCGTTGTTTCAGGAGGCGTTTGTTGCCGCGAAACGAGTGAAAAGCAGGAGATTGCTGGACCCACATGTTCACTAAAGATACCATTGGTGATTTGTTTTTAGAGTAGCAACCCTTGGCCGTGCAGTTTTTAGAACTGGGCAGTGCCCTTTAAGATACAACTGGGAAGCACACTCCCAAAGGCGTTTGCCAGGTAAGCTACGAGTGGAAAAGTTTCACTGAACCAATCTACTCGTGATGATCTTTGTCTCCAAAGAGCAGGACCAGTGGGGATTCTTTTGGGGACCAGCAAGCGGTCAAATGGTCAAATTTGCACCTGTAGGCCCGTAGAAGCAGAAAGTCCAAGGGCCATGATCATTTGTTGCTATGTAATTTTGTGTGTGTGTGTTTATATATTATTGCTGTGTTTTTTATCCAGCGGGACTGCCCTTCAAGTGGAGTGCGTCTTATCCTGCAACATGTTTTTGATCAACAATTTCTGAACATCATGTACGGCTTCGAAACCCCTTTGAGTCAAAGCTCGTTGTCAAATAGCCGGCTATATATACCTGTGCAATTAGTGGGGTCGAGCAACAACTCTCGAGGCAGGGATGCTTTGAAGGCACCACAAGAGGAGTCAATCAAAAAGAAATACAGTTGAGCATATTTTTGGAGTACTTTATGTGCAAATATATATAATATATATATAGGATTCTATAGGTCTTTCAAGGAAACAGCTAGCTAGAATGCAAGGTGATACATTTGAAGACACAACATACTTTGTTTGTGTGGTCGATATTAACTTACGATTGGTTTTAGACTTGATAGTGGCCTTTTGCTATGTTTCATGATTAAAAAACAGTCCAGAGGCTTTATTCAGAAACTATGTAGAACGTCTATTTGGAGAATGCGTTTGGCGTAGTGTGATCATGGTGGTTTGCAGGGCTGATATGCACATCCTATCACATGCAGTAATGTATGCAGCATACATCAATTGGTCGGGCCTTTGTACCAATTGACAATGGTACTCAAACCAGAAGCCAGTTGTTGTAATCGGTTTGTCTTCCCAACGCACACATACTTAATAATAGTTCATGTTTACACACACTTCCAAGACTGAAGTCAAACAATTTAACGAAAAGGTGAACTGCAGCAGCCTCCTGGACTGTCTTTCAAGTGGGGATTTATTTCAACAACAGCAGGACTCCAGCAGCGGCAAATCCTCATATAATCCGACTCAGTTTGACCATCTTAGCCCTCCAACGAAACGACAATTGGAGGAAGGAGTTCTCCGCAAAGGCAACTCCAGAGCAAAATAGGTGCAGTGTCTCATTTAGATCCTGGACATTCCGTTGGACACCCCTTGCTGTGGTTTCGATACAATCCCAACAGCATCACGCGGAGAAAATTGAAAAGGGACCCAGTGACCAAAACGAAGCAAAATCCATTGGACCCTACGTACTACGTACTTTGAAACATATATGCTCTCCAACAGATGGGGCAATCTTATGCATCCTTTCTTTGCGTTTCAAGTGATACCCCTGGCCCCTGTCTCTAAAGTGTTCTATAATAAAGAGAGGTGTAGTCGTTTGTTTCGTTGATTTGGTCGCTTGTTGCCCGCCCGCTCCAACCAGGTGGATTCCACGAGGGACTGGGTCCAGGCACGGGAGTTGCTCAGCGATGTGGAGACACCAAAAGAGCTGGCCGAATTGTCAAGCTGTGAGGACCGAATTGCCAAGCTGGCAGGGTTCTCATCCGATTTGGTGTTCCAAAAGCACCTCAGGGGGTTCTTGGTGATCAGCTTCTGAAAGAACTCCGAACATGAAACCTCGCGAAGGCTGGAGTTTTCCCACTCGCGCCTTCAAAATTTGGAAATTGGAGCCACCTCGCGCCATGAAGTGAAAGAGGGATTGAGAGCTCCAAGTTTGGGTCCGATTTTGGTGGATTTCGTACATTTTCTTTAGTAGGCCATTGCTATGCTCGGTGGAGGCCATCGCTACCAGTAACAAGAAGCTTCCAGGCGCCACTGATGGGAGAACTGACATCGCACTCCCGTGGCGCCACACCTCGCTGCATCGCGAGAACCACGGAAGCTGCTTCCGTTGGTTGAAAGATGTGAAAAGTACAGTATGATGCCTCAAAAGGACACCCATTGACACCACAAAACACTGAACTTCCGGTGAATTCAGGTTAGATCCCTTAGCCTCAAAGGGGCTTGACACTTCAGGTTAGATCCCTTAGCAGGTTTGGGGCAAAAGGTTGGACGATGTTCAGCTGAGACCATTCGACCATCGGAGTTCTGGAGATACAGTCCCATGACTCGTGTCGTGTCCAAGATCCAGTTAGTTCCTGAGAATTTAACGTCACCTCAAAAACCCATATACGTATTAACCATTCTATAAGCAATTCCTCTTCACCTCTGATCGAACTTCATCTCCCCTTCCATCCGACCACCCTCCTCGCTCCGGAGGACCCACATCTTCGCTTCATCGAGACCGTGGACGAGCGCCGCGACGCCACACGTGCCGCGCGCATGCGCTACGCGCTGGCACGCTGCCGCGAGGCTGGGAACCGTGGCGGGAAAGCGTGGGACGGGTGCAAGTTTGACAGAAGCGAATGAGCTTAATGTTTGTTGGGTCAACATGGTGTTTGAATGATTTTGGTGATTAGGAAATGTTGGAATCCACAGCTCTATGGGACAAGCTTGAGCTGGACAGACCTGGAACCTTCGTGAAATTGGCTGCAAGAAGGACTAAGACAAGACTTATATGATCTTATATATGTTTTCTTCTGTTTTTTGTTTTCGAAAACAGTTGTGTCTAGATGCTTTTGACGGTAATTATATCGTGCTCGGCTGCACCGAACTTGAGATGTTTCCCATGGCGGCTTGAAAAGACTGGGAACCAGCACCCATGGGAGCCATGGGAGCTTCTAGTAGATACCCCAAGCCCGGCGGCCTTTGGGCCCCTGGTGTTTGTGCAAAATTCTGTCTCAACCACAGCTGGCCATTGGCCATGTACGGCAACGTATCAGATTGCTGGCTTGTAGTGGGTCATGTTTCGTGGAATGTCTTGGCAGCATCGGCAGCATATGCGGAGCTTGGAAGTACTGCACCCGTTCAATGGCAACCATCATTGTTGAGCGAAACGACCACTTTATTGATCAGTTTTTTTGATTCTTTGATGTCGTCGGAATGGTTACTTCCACTCAGTTATGAGGGGATCCAGGGTCTTGCCGCATTTTACTTTATGTGGCAGTGCGGCACAACATCTCCTTGCGCCAGGATGCTTTGTCGGGGAAGGAATTGGAGCTCAGGCCGGATTTCACGAAAGGTAGCTTTGGGTCTTCCAATTTGAGAACTCTGTATGATTCCAAATTGTAAGATGATGGAAGGTCATGCACTCCCAGCTTAAGCATCCTGCAGGGGGAGAGTTCCTGCTGAGCCAGCGATGTCGAATTTGTATGACTCCTCAATGGGGGTTTACTCGTTTTGTCATGTTGTGTCCACCTAAAAGAACATCATGGCTGCATCGTGCAACCCTGGAGTCTTTTATTGACGTGGCAGCATTGCATCATGGGCGAGAAGAACCAAGATGCATTTCGCGAGCACGACGCATATGCCAAGAAGGGCCGGGAGCGGTATCCGATGCTCCGGAATACAGATGCTTTGCTGAGTAGGTCCTCAAAAGGAGTCCAGACAGATGTCAACATGTCAATCCATGAAGCAGACGCTTCTGGACTCATTTAAGGGCGAAGAACCTTTGCTGTACTTGCGTTACTTGCTGCATTTAGATAGATGGATTCCTTCAAACATGTTTGGAACTATGCATGTCTTTTTTGTCGTTTTGGCCTTTGGGCCGTGCAATTCTGATTTTGTTGTTCCGTCGCCCAGTCAGGAATCCGACTTTGTGCATCTTCTCAGCGAGGAGAATCCGCGAACATTCGCTCGGCCGTTGGCGCACAGAGATACTCTGTCAGTCCCATGGGTCGGTGTCCACCGTTGACACGGGTGGATGGCTTATGGCTGAAGCCACCGGTGAACTTGTTGTTCGAAATCGGTGTTCCCTTCCTGACACTATAATTGAATTGTCTTGTGCTTCATCATAGTCTTCATCATCATGCGTTCATGCATGGGGGTGTTCACCCTTTGAGCTGCTGATCTATGTTTGGACAATGGGACCAGTCCTGACATGCTGTTTTTTTTTTGTGAAATATATCATGTTGGGAGATGTGGGTCTGGGTGCTGGGTGCTACAGCCACACTCAAGGCCTACGTGTCGCCACGATCCCGGAGCCAAGGGCATCCAACATGTTTGGTTCATGTCATCTCATCGGTTCCGTCCATGGTGAAAGGCTGGATGAAGGCTGAAGGTTCCCGGCTTTGTGGCATCATTCCTGTAGGAATTCCATAGAGGAAGAGTATCAGGTCAACAATGTTTGGATGCTGCGTTTATCAATATGATTGGAAGATAAGCTTTGGAATATCAATTCAACACCATTGTTTGGATGCTTCGTTTCCATGCAGGTTAGAGGGAAGGTGACCAAAAAGTGATTTGAAGGCAATCGACGTGGGTAGGTGGATACCTCGACGGTGTTTTTTCCACAGTGCCACAGTTCCCGCCGTTCGGCCCCACAGGCGTCCGCAGGCGAGTCGACCGGCAAGTCACTGGAGTCCGTGGCTTTGCGGGCGTGCCGGGCCTACTTGGACATTCTTTTCTTCCATCCCTTTGACGTTCCTCGTTCGCCGTTGAAAAGCGGGATCGTTTTTCGTTTGGGCAAGGTGTACACCCTTGTACTTGATCGGGTCGTGGTTTGGGAGCAACTCGTTGTTGCGCAGGAATCACCCTGGATTGCTTTAAGTGGTAACAAGAACCCTCCAGGGAGACCCTTTGACTCACAGTCCAAGTCTCAAAGGAGGAGTCCTCGAGTCCGAATGTGCTGGCTGCAATCATTGTATATAGAATCATTCCCTAGGGATCCACATACCCTCTGAGAAGGTGATTGGAGACACTGTTGCGTAGGTTTGGATCCACATAGGGATTGTAGATTACAAGATTACAGCCAGCATAATCCATCATATCAGAGGAAGCTTGACTGTGCTGGCTGTAAGATCCCTGATTCTTCGATTATGTCACTCTCAGCTTCCTACTTTGCCAAGGATGGGCAGAGCCGTTTGGCACGTTTGGTCTTCGACTTCGTGTTGACCAGGGCGGGCTACACCGTGAGTGCTTTGGCCTTCTACATGGCACGAGGAGACAAGGGGGCAAAGATGGGCGAAGTCTGACTGCTTAAGCCAATGAGCTTCCAACAAACTTCCACGGAAAGTTCGAGTCCCTGTTTGGATGGTCCTTGGAGCTGTTGAAGTAGGAGTAGGAGGAAACGATTATATACACCGCAAATTACACTTCGAAGTGAAGGACAATCCCAGTTCATTTCTTCACACTCTCACGTACCTGTATGTCAAGATGGGTGCATGCATATGTTTGTTGGGTTGAGAACCTACCTGGAGCTTTCTGTTGTTTCAGGGTGGTCATCACGATCAGATAAAGACGGAGACTGTGCGATGACCTTTGGTGCGATTGCCGCCCCCCAGTGGTGATGCTATGAGCAAAATCAATCCAACGCAGGTGGCATCAGGTATAGCATTAGGTGGCCATCCTTCTTGTTGCAGACAAATTCAGGTACAGAGTTGTACAGATTCATCGACAACAAGAAGGATTGATCGTGGATCTGGTCGTGTGTTCCGATTCCACATACTCACGACGTGGATCTGGTCGGAGTCCACGTCTTGTTTGCAGTTTGGTTTATGTTGCGGCACTCAAATCAGGCTTTCTTCTCCAAATACCAACGTCTCGTTCGCTTGTGCGAAGCACACAATTTGGCCACAGAAGTTGTAAGACCATGCGTTGGGATCGTTGGGGGTGCCGCGACATGTTCAGCCTTGGCCACGCCTCGCCCCGCGTCGCTGGGGCTTGGACGGCACGAAGCGATGTGAAGCGGCCCAAGGCCAACCTGAAAGGATCTTCCTCTTCTCCAAGTCGGCCAAGGATTCGGAAGGCACCAGACTGACGTTGCTAAGACCTGCTTGTGGTGATGTGGATGACCAGGGTTCTCGGCGTCAAAAGAAGAGCTGTCCCTTATGGTCCTTTTCAAGAGCTGTCCCTGCGAGTCCAGTCAGAACTCATTTGATCCCTAGGGCATACAGAAGTCCCATGATAGGGGTTACCTTCACCTAGACATACCTAGACTACCCCACTAGGGTAGATGATGACTGTCCCACAGTTCTCGGAGTGGTCCCTCCAGTCCGTGGTTGGATGTCATGCTCCCAGGCTCGCTTCCCTGCCGGCTTCCCTCCCAGGCTTCTTGCAGAAGTGCATCTGTCATGCATCTATATCCTGTTGATCCACTTCGAAAGTTCGACAGTGTGTCCATGTCAACATGTGGATCTTACAGGTACCAATGGCCACACAGGAACTGTTTGTCCTGCAGTTTTTCTGAATCCAATTGTAGTTCCGGGTTGCTTCCAGCAGACACTGCAACTCACTGTGGCTCAGGTGGTCTTACCCAATGAGTAGGGCTTCTTCATTTCTGCAAAGGAACACTCCAGCACCACCGGTCTGGGGGGTTTAGTTGGTCGCATGCTGGGCGATCGACGGTCGAACGCAGGCGCCGTGAAGTTGGTCGAGCTCGTGAACCAGTTGATCGTCAAACCCAAAGAGGACCCCGATGCTTCGGCGCGGAGCGCGCCAACCGCTGAGAGACTCCTGGTGGGTCAAAACATGAATGACATAGAGACAGTCATAGAGACTCCCGCTACTGTACAGCCATGTCATGAAGCATGGTGAACGTTCTTTCATGTCCTTCGCATGTTAACCATCTTTGGAGGACAGATTCATTTGTTGGTGATGCATTGAACATTCAATTCAAAATCACAGATAAGATTATGCAATTATGAGTATATTGCACAACTTTTCTCACAGCAACTGTGTCACACATGGTTCTGGAGATCAGCACAGTCACAGAGTTTTGGGAGTTTTGATTGGTGGATAACAAACAGAGCTCATGTTGAACTCATATAGGACTGAGCCGTTCCTATAGTTGAACAGTCTTAGAATCTAACCCTGTTCTTTGTCGAGAGTCAAAATCGCACCGACGGTACACTGTCAGGTGGACTGGTTACATCCACGACCGAATGACAGATTGTACATGATTCTAGATGATTCTGGCCAGCGACCCTGGACCCAAACCAACAGCCAATGCCTTGAGGTCCGAAACCCTAGTTGTAAGGGTCAAAACGGGTCCAGTGAGCCTTTGGGCCTTTGGATCAACGAGATGTTCATCTCATGTACTAAGGACCGCAGACAAGGGATCCAATGGCCAAGAAGAGAGAGATTGGCCACCCCGAACCCACTGCGGCAAGTGTGCATCAGTCGCTTTCATGGGTTCATCAAAATATCCATGTGAATCCTGTATGTGTTGCAAGCCCCAGCAGAATGGTCATGTTTGATCGCTTCAATTTGGTTTGTTCCATTCTGATGCATCAAGATGCTAACGTAGTATCAAAATCCACCATTGGCGGTCAGACTTAATCCAAACTTCATTCAGACCGTGTTTTGTGGCCAGGACTGGTGCAGCCCCTTGCAGAAGTGGGTGGCCGATCACCCACCTCCCGGACTTCAATACAAGTCCAGATGGTTTGATTGTCAAAGTTATCCAAACGATGTACCCCCATAGTGAATGGCATGCAGGCATGCTCTATATTTAGCTCGCCGTGTTTCACATGGACTTTGATTGCGCTGGAAAGAGGCTGTTCAAGGCGATTTGTCTGATCAAAAGGCCTTTTTTTTTGCCCAAGAAGTCCTAGGGAATCACCTCTGAAGGACATCAATCAAGTTTTGTATGTCTTTTCCGCTGCATGTTTTTCTTCCTCAAACCATGGGCCAACTGAAGGGACGATCGACGGAAGATCGTGGGATCACCGAGCTGCGTAAGTGTTCAGGGTCTTTTCGGCATATGGCCTCCAACCTAATAGCGATGGCCTCCACCAACAGAGGTTAAGTGACCTTATAGGGCCCTACTGGGGTACCTATAGGTCTATAGGGTTCTTCAACCTTTGCTGGCACCTTGAGAAAGATTCTATAGTCATTCGAAGACGAAGATTCCGAGGTGTCGGCATCTTGAGTCACTGCAAGGTGTCGGCGACCGCTCCACACCGAGTGTCTGCTGTGAGGGTCACTAGGAGCGTCGGCTGCATCGATAAGTCACTGTTCATCTCGGACCGTCGGTTCCGAGATCAGACGGTTTACCATCGCGCGAGGGCCGCGCGCGGGCCGATGGTCGGAGAAAACCCCTGACGGTCGGCCCGGCGCAGCCCATGATTTCCGGGGCTCGGGAATGAGGTCGGTTTTGGTTCGTTTGAGCCCCTTAAACTTGACTCAGTCATGTATGTCGGTCACTTTGTCCCACAGACACTGGCGTTGTTGGGGACTTCTAGTTGAGCAGGCCGAAGGGAAAACATCCCCAGTGAACGGGACCTTGTCCTATGCATCCCTATGCCCTATATATAATTATATATAAATTAGCCACGTGAAAAAGCTTGGACATCTCTCTATATATATATATACATGTACATACAATCAAAGTTTGGGGTCTTGCTTTCACTGCAACAATGCTTAAAATTTGAACATGTCAAACAATATATGCAGTTCCCATCAAGATTGACCCCATACAAACCTAACGTGGTGATCCGTCCTAGTTTGGGCACAAGTTGTCGCCATGACCGTGATTCCAACAAACATGGTGTACAAAAACGAGACACGCTTTCAACGGTTCTTCAACCTTGGTGAACCTTGTGTCACCCTCAAAAGCCACGGGAGACAAGGTGGACATGGACATAGTGTTTTCAGACTGGCGACACGGTCGAAGGTCAATTGGACAGTCTCGCAGTTATCTTTTTTTTTGCACCCCCGGCGGCTCTGTGAAGAGTTGATCAAAACGCACAACTATATGGCCCTCCGGCCCTCCATGGTTGCTATAGATCCCACAACCTGTTTTGCTTACTGTCAGTTTGTGATCACCAAGTGTTTCTTAGGGATGTCCATCCAGGTATGGAGGTTCAATTTCTTCATACCTTGTATCCAGGTTGCTTGATTTGCTGCCGATGTGCTCAAGCTGTGAATTAGACGTGACTTGCTTGGCCGACATGTGCGATCACTGATCCTTGTGAGTGACACGTCGCTTCATTCTTCGGAGGAAACACCAATTACATATTATATATATATGCAATATATATATATATATATGTGCAGCTAGTAATCTTAGTAATCCAAGAAGAACATGTACAGTAAGTTCGTACCTTCAGGGTAGATGGGCACACTTGATTTAAGGGGGCTTGACGAGGTCTGCATATTACCATTGCTCAACATCCTGCCTGGAGGCCCATGCAGAGAAGATCCTGCTCTGGTAAAAACAAGCCATCACTTCTGCAGGACACCCTCCAATAGACCCACATGCACCACCCCAAAACCATCACCAATTGTGTTCTGGAGGATTCCTGATCGGAACTATGGCTCAAAGTATGTAATCAGCTTGAGTCTGCGTGGCTAACTGCGCGGGGATTCTCAGGTCTCGAGACTGAAATACATGTGACAAGTGAACACAAAATAAAGCGATGTACATCAATTCAACTCCAACAACTGCCTTTGGCAAAGCTGTCTTGGCTCTCCAAACCCTAAGGCCACAGTGAAAGCAAACCGAAAGGTGGTCGAAGTTGTACCTTCTTGCCTTCTCTAGAGGCTAGTTCCGAAGAATGATTCATCATTTGAGGAAATCATGGAGAAGCCTCGGTCCTATCTCCTGTCCCTTCCGAAGTCCAACGGTGAAGCTCCAAACGCCAGCGACATGTGGCGCCTCCACGTGCCCATGCGAGCCGTGCCATCGATGCGGCCAGCCAGTTCCACGAGGTGGAGCTTGGTGGTTTTGCGTCGGAAGAAACAATGGAGAGTTTATAGCTAGAGAAATTTGTAAATAATTCCTCAGGGTATTAGATGGTATTAGTATATTATAGAGAGTTGAGGGTTTGGAAGCTGAGGGTATATTATGTATACATATATAATCATGTAAATAATACGTATATATAACTATATATATGTATATATATATATATTTGTAAATACCTCCGGGTATATATATGTATTGTAAATTATAAAGTTGAGGTTTCAAGCTGAGGGTATATATGTATGTATAATATATATATATATATATGCAGGGGTATACAGGGGTCCATCTATAACATCCATTCTCATAAAGGGATGGCCGGAATCCTGGGTCCGTCGACTTCCTCCTGCCACAGCCAACCAGTCTCATCCTCTGGTCACTTCTCCTGACACTCCATGCATGGTCACTCCTATTACTTCGTGACAAAATGGGATTGTTTCTAATTCTAGGGGTCCATGTAGATCCATATTCCAGTCCCATAGAGCGTTTGGGGAAACAACGTCTTGAGCCAGCCACTGGCAGGCCGACGCAGCTGGGTGCCCTGCGTTTGCCGCACACTCGCCCCTTGGCGCCAGTGACACGCTTCCAACGCATGGGCTGGACGCGCTGGCCGCAGCGCGCTCTGGCCACGTTGAGGGATGTGTCGGTGCGGCGATCGACGCAGAAGACCGAGGAGCAAAAGAGTGTCTTGGCAGTGCTGATGGCTTTTCCAAGGGAGGTGAGATGTTGTTTTACTTTGCTTCACGTGTGCAGAGATACAATCTATTTCTCTATAATTGTTATGTTCTTATCTAATATAAAAGGGTATTCATGTATATTCTTGGGTGTGCTTGTGTTTTGTGAGAATGGCCGGGTGAAAAAGCAGCTCAGTCGACTCAAGACTGACCACTTTTGGCGGGAGCCAGCTGGACTTCCGACCTGATCAAGCGACAGGGTCCAGACCCAGGTCCCAGATGATGGAGGAGTGGCCCGAAGATCGCATGATCCTTCACGTCTCCAAAGACCACCGATTCTTATCACACGCACAGTGGTGCCGTCTAACCAGATCACCAACTAAGATTGAACTAGCAGACCCAACTACCCACCAGGATACCAGGAGATCTGTTGGAGGTGCTAGCCAATGGCGTGATCTGGATAGAGATGGATTGAGTGTCTCCTTTGGACATCTTGAAGTGAGGGAACCAGGACCAGATTATGGACCACCTATCATTCATACATGGATCATGGACAGTGGCCTGCCGACCGGTGTGTTTTGGGACGAACACCAGCTGCGGCCCAGAGGGCACCTCTGGGCCAAGCTGAGCCGGTGGGCTCTGGCGTGTTTGAACCCCTAAGCCGAGCCGTGCCCAGCCAGAAACGCTTTCGAGGCTTAGCTTCGCAGAAGCCGACGGTGAGGTGGGGAAAAACGGCGCTAACTGCTTGGGGTGGGGGCGCTCCCTGGGGTCGTCGGGGGGGATGTTTGGGACATTGCTTCATCTCTACGAGTCCCTCAAGTCCCTACCTCCTGTCATTTGAGCAGCATTCTAAATTCACCCTTTCTTTTAAAGTCAGGGACTGGCGAAAAATCAGTGAGAACAGTAACTTTAGCTGATGTTTGTAAGGTGTCCGTAAGGTTTGCCGTAAGGATGTGCAGATTTGAACAGTGCCGTAAGGCTACCGGAAGCGGAATTTGTTGCCCAAATATATTTGAAGAAGCTTGCGTTCTGACAGAGCTGAAACCATGGAAATGGAAGAGTACAAGCAGGAAACCATACAGTTTCCATTAAAACAAATCATATGGAAAGAAAATGGTATCTTGCAACAACATAAAACATGTGACCACACAGTGGACTTGCATACCTCTGCCGTAAGCACAACGTAAGACTAGCCATGCATACATGTGTCGCCGTAAGCAAAACATAGAGAAACGTAAGCCTTGCGTAAGGCCTACCGTAAGGCTTGATTTCTCGGCAAGAAAAGACAACACAATTTTGAACACCGCTCATTTGGTGTCTGGCATAGTGGCATTGAGTCCTCCAGGTGAATGACCCATGCCGGTTGTCATCCCACATTCTAGCACATACATTGGGGTGCTTTGCAGGGTCAACGTAGGTACCCCTTGCAGACTAACATGGACCGCGAAAATGAACCCCTGTAAGACTACACAGTGGTTTTCAGGGTGAATGTTAATATGCTGCAGGAGGGTAAATATGCCATAGATGGAGGGTTTGGGGATAATCACTGACGGGGGTACGAGGCTTTTAGGGCACTTGAACTGTGGTGAAAAGGCTAACTCTCCAAAGCCTGTGCGCAGTTTCTTGTTCATTCCTTCCAAATCAAAACGTCATTCTCGGGACACAGTCGGGTCCAACTCATTTGTGAGAAGATAGGCTCAAAGGGCTTGGGAAAGTTGGTAGTTGGTACATGGGAGTTTGGCGTGAGTTTGGCAATGGTTCAACTATCGCACAACAAAACTCATGTCCTATGTGATCGGGCTCAGTGTTGGGGCCTTGAAGACGGCGAGTGTGGGGTTTTAGACCCCACATGCATTTGAGATTCATGCCCTGAGTGCTTGTCAAATACCCTTCCACTTTTGGGGTACAAGCCATAGCTTGGGATCAGATCCACATTAGCCAACCTTGGATTTGGGATTGGCAATTGAACAAACTCTTTGAACGAAAAGTGGCAAGTTCTCTTCGTTCTTCGCCCACCGACCGGTCAGACCCCATGATCAGCTGGGAGCGTTCCGGTGGATCCGGTCACCGCTTCTTCGATACCAACAGGGCCCTGGGGTGTCCATGAAAACAAAAGGACCTTGTGGGTCCGGTCGCTTATAGCGCACTTGTTTCAAACAGCTAGGCAATTCATAGCTGCCAGGTTGTTGGGACCAAGATAGACCAGTTGGGACAAATTATGACTAGTTGTCAATGTTCAGTGAGATTCCCAGGCGACTTCCCAGGGATTTGTTCTTTGCAGCACTGCTCTAAGTCGCTTCGTTCCTCTAGGCGACTCATGGCCCTGTTGTGGCCGGACCGTGCACTGCTGGGCATGGCTCTTTGCTTTTTGGTGGGAGCCGCTGTGTCCCAGGCGAGGACAGGGACGGCAGGGACAGAGGCAACCAACCAGGGGGGATGAGATGTAAACACCAGCACCATCCAGCTGAGAAGGTAGTGCTGAACATGTTTTATATCAGGACTTAAGGAATGAGGGCATAAAACATCATGAAACAGTCTTCGGTCACTTTCATCGCAACAAAATCTGTGTGTAGTGTGGATCAGGACAAGCTCGGACCCCGGTTGACCCAGCAACACATGGAGGGATGCCACCCATAGGTTTAGGATTACGCACAATTTGTCCGTTATTCAGCGGACAAAATGATGCGTAAATGGCTCGGGTGTGCCACTGGCACGACAGATCACGACATGCTTAGCATTGTTTGTTGTCTTTGAATGAGCCACCATGGTGAGAACCGGGTCAGAGGGTCGACTGATCTTTGCGGCAAAGTAAACGTGAACCACACTGATGTGGCGGGTCGACGTGTCGCGTGAAAAAGCTTCCAGGTGTCGGTCGACGTGTCAGTCGTTTCCTTTCATCAAGTGATCCTTCCACCCGGTCGTTCAACCCGGAGACCTGGTCCAGGTCGTTCTACATCGCGAGTACGGTATAGGTCAACCGGTCGGTAGGGCAGGTCAACCGGTCGGTCTCCTGGTGCCATGAACCACAGCCAGGGACTGTGTCATGACGCACATCATAGCACCAACAGCACGAATCAAGTCCTTTTCTGTGTTTGTGGGTATTGTGATGTGTTATCATCCATGTTCATGTCGGTCGTTCAGTGACGAACATGATTGCCCATGTGAGCCCTGAATGCTGTTGAGTCACCAGTCCATTAGATCGTGTGCCGTAGAGGAACGTGATCTCTCACTGACTGGGGTTTGGAAGAACATGAATCCCGCTGTCCGTCCATGGTGAATCACGGGAACCGTGGATAGCATCCGAGCTGTTTGGTCTTCGGATGTCTTGCTGGTCAGCACCACCTGGTCCTCCGAGTCTTCGGGGCCGGGGCCATCCACAGATCATCCACGGTATGCGTCCGACTCGTATACAGCATCGGTATGCGTCCGAACCTCCCATGGGTTCCGTCGTATGTACTCCGTTCCACTTTGCCTTAGAGGCTTCCCCCTACAGGCTACAGGCCTCGAGTGTCTTATGCGTCTTGGAGTATCGTTTGGATATTCCCCTCAGTTTGGGAATTCCAAAGGAGTATTCCTTGGGACCTTGGGTTTGGATATTCCACTCCACTTCAGGCCTTCAGGCCTCCACTTTTCTCCTTTCAGGCCTTCCTTCCACACTGCTTGTCCGAGACGCTCAAGGCCATCATCGATGGGCGGCTTGGCCATCGCACCGCATCAGAGGGGAGAGCCGGCTAAGTGCACATGAGGAGGTTGCAGGCATTTGTTCCCAAACCCCTCCGTACCTTGGAAAGTGGTACAAGCTGTACTGTTGTGCAGGTGGCCGTGGCAGGTGCTGTTTGTTGGAGTCAAGTCCAATTTTTCTAGTGTACAAGTTGCAGGGTCAGAGTGGGGATGCCCAGGTATTTGAATGACCACCAATGGTAATGTTTGCTTTGTGGAAGGGTACTTTCACAGCAACAAGTTCTAGGACAAGCGCATATCAACGTTTGGACCGATTCAAGGGGAAGCATCTACACTGAAATGGGAGCATCTAAGCTGTCTATACATTCCCCAGGGCGATGTGCACGTGAAGGCGCCGCCCAAAACTCACGCTTCAGGTCGGGTCCGGTCCACGCGTTTGATGCTCATCCAACCGATCCGTTGCTCCCAGGCAAGCATCTGGGCAGCTCGCAGTCTCCACGTTTACAGGCCCTTTGTCGAATTTGCTGCTTGCAGCGATCGCAGGACAGATCCTTCCTTTCATGGCTGCATGACTCGCAGTCTCGCAAGCTAGACAGCGGTCGACCCACTGGAGGGCTTTTGTTTGCTAAGCGCTAGCATGCACCACCCTGCGGACCATGTTTTTATGCTGAGACGACTTGTATGCTCAAAACATCTCAAAACCATAGCGGGTCAAATGCTGTTGAGTTCAACCTTGCTCGTTGGCTCTTAGTGAGTGCAGGGATTGTTTTTGTGTGTTTTAAAGATTGTTTTTTACATGCTTGTGCTGTACATGTTTGCAGGCTGTACCGTCCATGACACCTTTCAATGCCACAGCATGAACATCCAAGTTGTAGAAATCAGGGGGACTCCGTTGGCTTCAGGGAATGTAGCCTCCCTCTAAGAGTGATGACAATCAATTGGCCATGGATGAAGGAATGAGTAGCAAATTACTTTTGCGTTTGGGATAGAGGCAATGAGTAGAGGATCTCCACTCCCCCCCCTTTTCTCAGGATGAGAGATGGAGCAATGCCCACGATGCCACAAACATTCTCCGGCGTTCTTTTTTCGCAAAGCCTCGGGGCCTTCACGGCCTTAGCCAGCGCAGAGGAGCGTTCTTTTCCTCGCTGCGGGGTGCATGCTTCATCATCATCGGTGCAAGGGCTTCGGTGCGCTTGCGAAGGCAGCTCTTGGAATCTCTTCTGAAGCAACTCGCAGAGGTCGGAGGTCGGAGCTGGGATGGCGACCGTTGGCCACCGGGAGCCACCAGGAGTTCTTCGGGAGCACTGCGTTTTGGATTTGGAGATCGTGTAGCTAACACTCCACGCAAACTTAAAGGCGTCTCACATCCAAGACTGAAGCAGCTGGAACCCGGGTGTGTTCAGTGGTAATCAGAATCTGAATCCACTTGAGGCAGCTTCAGTTCGGTGATACGATCGGTACACTAAGTGCCTCAGGAATGTGTACTAAATTGATCTAAATTGATGAAATGGGCCGATTGCAGGTCACCTTTTTTGTTAATCCATGTTAATCCCCAAGGAGATCAAAGGAGCAAGTTCCTACTTAGACTTGTACCTTTGGCCCAGGAATCCCCCACATGTCGAAAACCACTGGTTCCGGTCAGAATCAATTGATTGGATCAAGAGTTGTGGAGTTCTATGCGGATGAGTAGCGCACACATTCGTATGGGTCGTTGGTGGTACCTACTGTACCGGTTTATATATATATATATATGCTTTGCTGCGTTTGAGGGAGTGCAGGGGTCGGTCCTGTTTCTTTTCTGTGCAAAACAGCATTAGAGTCTATATTGATTTGTATGTGTTCTCAGTTTGTTTCTTCTCGTTGTCTTGTACATTTGAGAATGGATGCATGTAGTCCATGCTAGTCGTGTTCTTTTATATACGCCCTGGAAAATTATGTAGCATGGAACTTGAAAACCACTGGTTTGTGGAGGAAGCTATAGTCTCCTCTTCAGGTCCATTTTCAGGCTCCATGTGATTCTTCCGGGCAATATCATGTTCCTGTGAGGTTCCGAAAAAAGAAATAGAGCTGCCCAGGCAGGAAGTGGGCTTTTTCGATACCACCAAGACGGGGGAGATTACCTCGCGCCTCACCCAAGACTGCCGGCCAGCCCAGATGTCGCGGAGACGTCCGGAAGACCCATGCGATGGAAGATGTGTGCGTGTGTGAGGTGGTTTGGAAGGTGAAGTGGGTATAGTACCAGTTGGCCTAGTGTTGTGCAGCCCCATCACTCCAGAGGGAGAAGGCTTTGGAGGGTTCAGCTTGGGTGCATGAAAACCCTAGATGCATCATCAACTGAACCTCTGGATTCCAAAGCTACCAGGATGGTGTAAGAGTATGTCTTTGTGGCAAGCTTGCAAGAAGTTCAGAAGCCTACCAGGATGGTGTCAGAGTGGCAGTCATTGCATTATTATCATACACTAGTGCTTCCTGATGTGGATGAACAGAAAATGCGCGCACCATCATGTATAATACATATATATATAATATATATATATATAATCAGTTATAATCACATATATATATACTATATTATATAGTATTAGATGTTTCACCCATCTAGAAGTTTCATCTCTTCTGAGCCATTTCAAGCCGAGCCTCCTCCCCAGTCCTCCGCATCCGCCTTGGCCCTGGGAAATCTGCTATGCTGCGTTCTTGGCTTTTGATCTCGGTGGTGGTGGCCATTGCCACGGTTGCCAGCAGTTGGGGCCAAGTGCCTGAGCTTTTGTGGTACCGGCTTTCGACCTCTCTTCGTGCCCTCAAAGCCATATACACCTTGCCGGAGAAGCACGTGAGAGATTTCCTCGACTCCTACAAGCTCTTCGAGCAGGAGTATGTCACGGGCCAGAACCAAGAAGCCGAGAGCACTGTGAACTACTATCAGGTGCTCAACCATCTTTGCGCTGTGGGTGAAGTTGAAAAGATGTACATCCCTCCAGTGGTAGATGCCAACCAAAGCATCTTCCAGAACCAGGCGAGGATGTTGTCACCGCATGTCACCGATTCTCGCAACAGACAAGATGTTTAGGTGTTGTTCACCCATTCTCGCAAGCTTAGCATCAGGGAATTGTTCCGTGAGGTGTATCTGTATCTTTAACGTGACTTAATTTGGCCCTGAAAAAACACCGCTGTGGTAGCTGAACCCATTGGATTCACTGTGATTCACTCTATTGTTAGTTGGAACCTGCCGGTCTGGGTATGTTGGCGCCATGGAGGTGGTGTATGGCCACCCTGAAGTTGACAAATGGAACAACATGTTCTATCAATTCCTATCATAGATGATTGTGTTTCACTGTTTTGGTGGTTTGTGTTCACTGCTGCACCTAATGGCAAGAATGGTGAGATTGATTCATGCACGGCAAGAACAACAACACCCACGATGATCACCACAGAAGGATAGCAGTGACAACAATTATGCACTTGCATTGCTGGGTGGGTGGGTTGGTACTTGGCCATAAGTGGCTCCATGAAACAGCCAGGACTTTTTTTTTCTATTATTATTGTGCTGTTCATTTCGTACCAATTGCGCTGAGTCAATGAGCCAAACTGCTTTGTTTCGGGGTGTGAACCTCCGGAGTCAATTTCAGGTCATGTGGGAGGAAAAAGGCTTGGCTGACCAGTTGGACTTGGGCCCAGCATCTCAAGTCTCTCGGCTGGGTTTTGGCGAATGACCGGTGGAGGTTCTTAAAATGGGGGACCCCCAAGTCATCCCTGAGCGGCCAAGATTTATAGTGGGAAATGCAATGACAAGGGGGGGGTCCCCGAATTGGAGAAACACCTCAGCCCGTATATGGATCACCAGCCCCCGCATTCCTGCCTTTGCGGCACATGTTAGATCCCTTTCGCGTACAGCCCTTTGCCTGGATGGGTAACGCTCTTGCTTGGGCGCCCCAAATGAAACTGATGCCTGTTAGCAACAGTGGTTCTAAGGAAGTGCTGTTTGATTAAGGGGAAGTGGACCAGCCGGGCTTCACAGTGGCACTAAAACAAAAGGTAAAAGTCCTGACGACATCCTCAAGACCATGGAACACCTTTTTTTGGTTGCATCCCAACCATGACTCCCAGAAAAGCCACTACGACACACCGGCCCTAGATGTGATTGACCATGATTCGCAACACATCACCACCACGGACATTGTAGTCAAGGCTGTTTCGCGATCGATGTGGAAAGGAACTGAAAGGAACCCATGGGATCTCGTTCCCCTCGACGCTGGAGGTCTTGGACGTGGGTTGTGGGCGAGGCCGTGTGGCTCACCACGTTGCCAGCGTTTCGGGTGCCCACGTCGCTGGTCAGCACGGACCCACCACGAGAGGACTCGGTGGGGACGGCGTCGTTTGGTGCGACTTCCAAGACCTGGACCCGGGTCGTTTGGTGGAGCGAAGACTTGCAGTCGGATAGAGTGGGACATCCAATGCTGACATTTCTGTCTGTCCAGTGGACATCCAGCTGCGGAGTCTGTCCTGCATCGTTGTCACAGGTCGCATGGTGCCATTCGGAGAAGTCACCCTCGTTGATCCGCCCTGCTCCGGCCCCGACAGTCTTTTGCTTCAGGTCACTGGACTGAACATCGACCGTTCTCAGCTGAAGATGGCCAAGGAACATGCCAGGATCACTCAAATGGACCCTCGGCAGAGATTTGTACCATCCTGGGACTTTGAATAGTGAGATATATTCAACAACTCAACAACCCCATGTATGACATTGTATGACCTATAATATATATAACTATAACATGAATGAACTATTCCATAGACATGGATGCTTTGGGCTACGATCCCATGCATCCTATGCTACCATCATCTACCATCCCAAACGGCCCAAACGGCTTGCCCGCCCGCCCGTTTGCCGTCTCTGGGCCATCCCTTCGACCGACCGACAGCCTCTGGGACCGATGGGACCGTCGGGCCTTGGGAGTTGACGTGGGGTCTCCCCATGGGGTCTCCACCCCGGAGAGGAGACCCCACCCCAACCCATGGAGACAATTGGATAAGTTTGGTTGGTCAAGATCCCGGGTGAAATTTTTGGTGGGTCTTTGTACTTACTTATATAATCTTATATATGTATCTCAATATACATCCATATCTTGCCCAAGTCGAAATCATATCTTGCTGGCTTGCTAGCTGTTCTTTGGGTGGTCCTGGGAGTGAGTGGCGTCCATAGAGCCAGTTCCGGCAGTTCAACGAGGGCATCTTTTTCAAATTCCAAGTATTTTGGTGTCAAACATAAAATGTGTTGTGTGTTCCTTGAGGAAGGATAAATTAGGCCAGGCTCAACCGTGCTGAATTAACCAACAGTTTTATGTGTTTTCGAAGACAAAGACTAACATATGCGCAAGCCAAGCTAACTTTGTTCAATCCTTTTGTTTACTGTACCAAGCACCAAGGATTGACGGATTCAAATTTTGCTGGTAACAGTTGACTTTGCTCGCTCGTGTCAGCCTAGGAGCATCAGCTATCTTTTGTGCATGGCAACTTCAACGACCCCTTGCCCTTCGATGACGAGACCTTTGATGCCTTGTACCAAGTGCAGGTGCTGACCTACACCATCGACGCAGTCAAGCTCTTCAAGGACGCTGGGGCTGGGACCCGGCTCCTCTCCCGACCGAGGTGGCGATCTCCGCCGAGGTGGCGATCTCCGTCCGACCTCATTTTGCTGCAGTTTACTGACATGACTCCAAAACACACACCAACGAACGAGCCTTTCAACGCCCGGTTTGGCCTCGGTTTTGGGTGTGTTTCTTGCACAGTGGTGTGGGCAAACGCCCGAGTGGTGAGGTGGCACAAAATCCAGTTTCTGGAAGGCGCTTTGCTTTGCTTAAGAGATACATGCAGCAACAAAACACCACACATACTTGCCTACGCTTCCCTGATAGAACACCTGCTGTCTCCTGGCCATTCAAGTGAATACCCAAGCTATCCCAAGCTGAGAGTGTTATGCATCTTGTGTCCATCATACTTCCCCGTCTTAACCCATTCCCTTTTCAGGGCAACAGGCACGATACTTCATAGAGGAGTTGACAGCGAACCTCGTCCTTTGTTTGGAACTTGTAGGTGAAGAGAATTCCTCAACTTGAAGCGCTTGTTTCAAGTTCACTCAGTCGCGCAGATGCACCAGCTCGACACCTCTGGTTCGTCGACATCGTCATGTGTGAACAGGAGATGTACCGAGTTCTGAAACCTGGCGGTAAGTTGTCCTTCCTGGACTATGTCCAATTGCCAGCCTTCAACTCTTCAGACGCCAAGCACTTGGAGCTCCTGAGGAAGGTGGTGAAGGGGGTCCTGACGCTTTCGCCTGGGCGGAACCGAACCGAGACCGGAGCAGACCGATCCAACTTGCGAGTTGAAGAGCGAGGAAGTGACACCAACCAGTCAGTTGAAAGACCTGATGTAGAGTGAACATGAGTGAACTACCCGCACCACCCTTTGGGTGGTTCTTGGATGGACAAGATATTTTCAGGGGTTCTATAAACCACCCTTTGGGTGGTGCTGGTATAGGCTGTTGGTCCATCTCCACTCACTTTTGCCAAAAGCAACCACCGACTCTGAAATCCACCTCTCAAAAGAGGTGCACATACGTGACCACCTTAATCCCGCAACACAGCACACTCACTCCCCACATCACAGCCGAAGATCACAGAAAACATCAGGTTTGATCCAAGCATCCCCAGTCCTACGCAGGAAAAGTGTGATAACATGTAATCAAAGAAGCACTTACTTAATTTATGGGGGGGGAAGCACAGCTTTCTCCAAAGAGAAGCTCTTGAGCAGGTGGTTTAACAACTCAACCGCTCAACGCTTTGGTTTCAACAACTGCACGAGTCTGGTGGCACCAGGTGAAGCCCGTGTTGGGCGCTGTGTGGACTCCCAAGCCCTCAGACTTCACGGAGGCCTTGGAGAAAGCGGGAGCTTCGGCCTTGGAGTGGCCGGGCGACCGGGTGACCCAGGGTGACCGGGTGGACCTGGGGGGGTGGCAACACATGCCCGTCAACAGCACTACATATGTCCAGGGACATAGTCCTCCCACCCTGGCGATTCAACTGGACGTCCATGGTCCTGTGAAGTTCAACGAATCGGTGAGACGAGAACTCCATTATACCAATATACCTTCAAGGGCGTGCATTGATGCTATAGGCACCCCTAGGGGGTATGCGTTGATTCATAATCGCCCATAGGGTCTAAAGACAGGAGGCATTGCGAAAAGTGAACAATCAATATGATCCTCGCTATATGTATATACTTTGGAATTGTCCCATATTATAAAGTAATTGTCCACTCCTTTGAATCCTTTGTTTTGAAGAATTGTTTCTCCGAGACCAGGTACCTGGGGGTTGCCCTAAGGAATATGCAATCAAAAGCATCCTTCAGCCCCTCCTGACCTGGGAGGCTATGTCTCGTTATTATGTCTCGTGACTGAGTCAGAGGATTAGTGAAACTTCTGATTCGTCTCGGGACCAGGAAGTGTGTCGGAGTTAGCCAACCTAGCAAGGACGCTATTAGGTGGAGGCCATTGCAAGTAGGTTGGAGGCCATCGCTGCTAGGAACAAGAAGCTACTAGTAAATCTCTCAGAGATCCCATCCCTCAGATAATAAGTCCACATTATTACATTATGATTTGGATTGATCCTTCAGACAGCCCCTTGATCCTTCAGCAGCTTGCCGAGCTCATTTAGACGGATGAGCAAATGAAGAGACATGTCTATTCTTCATTATTCGTATGAGGATAGGAACACCAGCAAGAACAGCATGTATGCCATGAGTGACTTACTCGCTATAACCGATCACATCTTTTTGTTTCAAAGAGTGAACCCACACGTTTCGGGATGACCGGTGCCGGGTGAGGCCGAACCCCACTTGGTCGCCCGCTTCTCCCACTGGTCAAGAGGGCGCAAGCCACCCATCAGCAGCTACCTTTTGAGGGGAGGAAAACATATGGGGATGGGTCAAACCCTGCAGAAGTAGCTTGACCTTCCAGGTAGGTCAAGCAAGACAATTAAGTTATCCTGGTTTTGACCCACAGCCATATATCCATGCATGTCTAGACATGGAGAACATGTACAGCTCTAGGGGCTGTCTACAGAGGACATTCGCCACGTGTGCTGCAGCACGGTTTGGAAACCCAACAGGATCCCTTCTCTTGTTACTCGTAGTAAGGCCATGAGCGCTCCGTTCGTAGCGATGCCCAAAATGTTACTAGTAGCTTGGGGAAAAGCCGACCAACATGGTGACCTCGATATAACATGTTTAGCACTGGTCGCGCGAGGGCCCGGGTCGCGCTGAGGATTTCAGATCTTGTCGAGTGAAGATGCCAGTGTGGGGAAGCGCCTTTGAAAGCAGGAACTGCTTTTGTTGATCCCCAGTAAGTATAAATCAACTCTGGTGGGAGTCCTTAGAGGTGGAACTTCTATGTTCAGTCCATATTGGATTGGCCAAGCGAGGCCCGACAAAAGCCTCTAATAGCTAGGAAGAAGTTCACCTCTTGGAAAAGGACGATAAGCCAACCATTTGCAGCCTGGCCAAGCAAAACCAAAGCATCCCCCACTACTGGGCCGGAAGTTTTAACCATATTCCCTGGATGTTGGTCTAGAAATCGTTTTTATTGTATTTTATTGATTGGGTGTGAATGCCATTCACAGGCAGTTGTTTGTTCGAGTATTGGGTTCTTCTGGTGGAAAACTGGTGAACTGAAGTATAGGGAATGATTTGGATTGGGAGTCTTACAGAATCCACACTGCACTTCTCCAACATGGAACTGGTCGTTCTATCCTGTACTCAAGCGAGGCATCAATACCCCTTGATCGAGAAGGCCGAGACCTTCTTCGTGGCGACGAGGCCGCTGGCGAACCCCTGGGCAGTTGGTTGGCTGTCTTTTGGTAGTGACAAAGCTGTATTCAAATGGAAATTGAACAGGCAGGGACCCCATGAACTCAGTTGTTGCTTATTTGTTCTCTTACCAACGGTCCTTGGTTTTTGGATTTCAATGTTTCTCTTTGCGGGAAGATCTCCATTTCTGTGGTTTCTGTGGGACGGATAGACCATGGTTAAGGGTGTTAAGGAGGCTCCAAATCTTGGAGACGAGCGAGCAACAAAAAAAAGCAAACTCCCCAGATGTTAGGCCATCCGTTCACAGTCGAGCTGTCCGTTACAGCACATCTTTCTGCGAACTTCAGATTTTAAAGAATCCAACACAGCCAGAGACCTTCAAAGGGAACTCTTAGACAGACAAGGTTGGGAGCATCCCAATACTTGGGAGCAACTCACAAGTTTGGAACTTCCACCCGCTCAGAAGCGTATCGGTTCGCAGATGTTCACACGTTCATTTGGCCCACTCACGGTCTTAGAGCCAGGTGGTTGAGCCTCATGGCCTGGTCATCTCAAACAGCTAGTAGCTCAAGGCCGCCAGTGATCACCAGTGGACCATCCTCCTCTCTAGACCCAGATGACCATACCTTCAAGATGAGGGGCCAGATGGGGTCAAAGTATGTCAAAGTCTATACAACAAGTTGAGCCTCTAGCTCAATCAACTCAACGGTCAGATAGGCGAAAACAAGACAACGAGCAGTGATCGGTTAGAGGGTGCACAATCCCCCCCCGTCACCAACCAACCACTGTCATTTTCTCATTGTGTCCTCCCACTCAAATATGCACAGGTATACGGTACGCTTCCATGTAACCCGACCCCCCCGCCGATCCTTCCAGCCCTCCAGTGTCCCACCTGCGCCACGCGCGGCCGCGCAGGTGGCTCCTGTCAGCGCTCACGAAGGTCCACGTGGTCCCCTCCCATCTCTTGACACTCTTTGAACGGTTGACCAAGGATGGGGAGGCCTTCGTTGAAGCGGACAAGTGACCTGGGAGCATGAAGGCAAACTGCTGAAAACGTTTGGGGGGGTGTTGACACAGCTGGTTTGTATGAGGATCGATAGGATAAAGAGGTGTCCGACTGGTAGGCCACTAGCTCCCACTGAACTGCTCAATAAAAACATATACTGTAAAAACTAAAGTACTTCTTATTAAGTTTGCAGAAGACAATGAGATATATCCAATGGCCCAACCCCAGTTGTGGGCCAATGTGTTGGAGAGTCCGGTTCTGGAAATCCTTGGAAAACTCATTCGAAGGACGGTGTTTGGCCGCCTTTGGCCCGGCCTCCCAAGGTTGGGTCTCTTCACCACTAGTTGGCAGATCATCGCACAAAAGCCAATGACCAGAATGAGTGATTTGCCTTGAGGATGAGCCTTTGGCCTTGGCCTGGGATAGCCACTCAGATTCTTTGTGCTTCATGCAGACAGATCGGTTGGTGACTTCTAGCAGGCATGAATAAAAGGGCTTCTTGTATACCTATACGTAGCTATTCCATTGTGTATTTTGAAGCGATCACCCTGCCAGACGACCTTGCGCTTGGCCTCTGCCTAAAGTTGTCGACCTGTAGAGCGGAAGAACACGACGATTGGGCACTTGGCCATCCCAGTGGATTTGGTCAGAAAACGGGTTCCACAGACTAGTATGAAGAGATCAGGGTGTGCTCAAGACAGAAGATCATCCAACAAGTCTTTTCTACTTGTTGTTTGACAATCGAGTTTCTGTTACTGTGATTCTAAGATTTTCAGATTCCTGGGCAGCAAGGGAATCATAATCGCCATGCACTCGCTCTTGGCTGTACAGACCGGGGTGCACTCGCGTATTGTGAAGTAACGCAGGTCTCCACAATGCCACAAAGCTGGATTTGGGCCTTGATCGTCACCGGATGAGATCAGTGAAAAGCTTGGCGAGTCCAGCCACGAGTTCGTGGATCACTGGTCAATAAAAAAAAGCATAGAACAAAATGGAAACAACAAAACAACCTGAAGCCCCTTATTGAACACTGGCTTCTGCTATCAGGAAGAGTGACAAAGTCACAGTTGAAAGGCAGGGACAGCATCTCATCACGTTGGCGCTTGTGCTGGGTTTGTCTAGCATTGTCAGCTAAACTAATAAGATTTGCCGCTAAAACACAATAACATATATATATATATACGCACATAAGATACTGCGGAAGCTGATCCATCACATGCACAAGGCACACCTCGCATTCACCCTGATGGCCCCGGCCCTAGTGTGCATCACTGATTTCGCACTCCTTCGGCAGGTCAACGTGTGGCTGACCAAGTCTCCTTCAACGTAAACTTCTTCTCACGCACGGTGGTCGAGCTGGTGGCGACCTTGTGTTTTATGTGCGCCCAGACGTTTGCGGTTAGCTGATCGGGTGGGGGTTGAGACAGGAATTCTGCCTTTTTACCGTGCATATTTGGAGAGCGTCCGTGTAGCAGCTCCTAGGGTCCTAGAGAGTTATGATCTCGCTTCTTCATCGGGGCTGACCCACCTGCTTCTTCATCTCGCACCGGATCGACGGCATTCGCTCTGGACTGCAGTCGACGGGAATTTCCTCCGGATGGACTGGGGGTTGTGTCCACTGTGCACCGCAACCTCCGTCTCTCATGGCTCACCCGCACCCTCCGGTCCTTTTCAACCGCTCGAGCGGTGGTGCGGCTGGTGGCCAGGCTGTCCTATTCGACGGAGCTGACCATGATCTCCTTCGCCACGGTGCCGCTGGTGGCCGTTCTCTCGAACCGCGTGGGCCGCGGAGCGGCAGACGGGTGGGGGGACCGGCGTGGTATTCCGGGGGACCGGGGGCCGGAGCCATTGGAGGTGGGGTGGAGGGATAGGATTTTAGACCAGGGCGGAGGACGGGTGGGTGTAAGGGAAAACGGGGCCTTTTGGTTGTAAGTGCTCCTGTTGTGGATTTGAAGATTTTAAGCCTTTCCCCATGATTTGACAAAGATGAGGCGGGGGCAATCCCTAGTCACGAAAGCTAGCCTTAGCTAGCTGGAGTTGCTCTTGCTTTAGCAAGTTAAGTGACGGGGTGGACGCACCTCAGAAACCTCAAATAATTGATTAAATCAATCTTATGGATCCCCCCCCCCCCCCCGCGGTTCGACTCCCCCCTGCGCGCGGTGAGCGGGACCACCAAGCAGCTGCAGCACACCAAGCATCTGCAGCGCCCAGCGCAGCAGCGGCAGCAGCAGCAGCAGCACCAGCAGCAGCAGCAGACCACCCAGCGGCAGCAGCAGCAGCAGCAGCACCAGCAGCAGCAGCAGCAGCAGACCACCCAGCGGCAGCAGCAGCAGCAGCAGCAGACGACCCGGCGCCTGCAGAGCACCCAGCGCAGCAGCGCCCAGCGCAGCAGCGGCAGCAGCAGCACCAGCAGCAGCAGCACCAGCAGCAGACCACCGGAAGCCCGGCTAGCTTTCGTTCACCCCCTCTGGCCTCAAGTGTTTGCCAGAAAGACAGTTCTGTTTTGCACAACACATGACAAGACGAGTAGGATCTAGTAGAATCTAGTAGGCAACAAATACTCTTCTGACAACATGTTGTTTTCACTTTTAAATAACGTTTTATGGTTTTATCGCAGAGCCTCGTGCACAATCCTGTTGCTGAAGTCTTGGAAGACGTGCTACAAACCGTGCCAACAATATGACATGTTGTGGTTTCCTGTGAGTTGAACATCACATTGTGCAAGAATTTGAACGACAAATTCAGAGCTTTTGGAAGCACAACCATCGTCATGCTTAAGTCTCCCTCGAAAAAGATGAGATGGCCAACCAACTCACCCTGAGAGTCCATATAAACCGTTCGCTAATTATATATGCAAATTAACCCTGGTGCCTGTGAGAATCATACATTGCAGATGCTTTTGGTCGGGAACTTAGGCAAGGTTGCGGCTCAAGTGCTAACCACATATAACCGATTGGTCTGGAGGTACTACACAAACACTTCCAGGAGGAGTGTTTTCACTAAAAAACAGTCTTAGAAGAGGGTCTTGGGTCTTCGGTGCTCAATCACTTTGCAAGAGTGGTTCGTTTCCCCTGGGGTTAGCCCGATGTTGACCAGGCCTATAGGTTTCAAACGGATCTCCTGTATGTTTTTGGAAACGCCCCGGAACCGGAACAGCGCTTGATAAGCTTCGACTGCCTTTAGGCTCGATTTGGGACCATTGGGGCCATCAGCACCAAGGTCACTATATGCAGAAGCTTTCCGAAGAGACGCAACAAAAGCTTGCAGATGCCAATGCCGTAGCAGAGGACTGAACATCTGCCATGTTTGAACAAACTGTACTCATAGACCCTCGCTCCATACATCAAGTTCCTAGCCTTTTCAGTGGCAACCCGAGCATTGCTCCCCTGAACAATCAGGACTTTGGGCAGGTGTGTGGTGCCAGCTGCTCCCCCGCCCAAGGCCGCTTCCCTGTTTTTGGTTTTGAGTCACCATCATGGGTGAGGGTTCTACTTGTTTCATTGGGATTACAGGATTCAGTTTCGAAGCTTGGGGCTCCAGTCAGCTTCAAAGTTGTATACATGCATGGTAATTACACGCTGTACGATACAGTCAGTTGATACAATGGCTCTTATACTGTATATATATATATATATGAATTTTCTTAGATTCTCGGCTGCAGGGGAACAGACACACTTGAGAAGGTTGCTCCGTGGAGCGTGATTTCAGGTAGCTTCGCGGTGTGCATTAGCCCTTTAAATTTAGATACTGCAGGAAACAACGTATGAGACAGCGTTGCACTGACTTAGAAATCTCAGCGATTGAAGATCAAAATTAGTATTAAAATTGCAGGTACGTCACGGTGATCAGCCGTGATATCCTAGTCAACTGCATGGAGCTTCGTTGGCGACAGCCATGCAGCGACTCTGTCGCCCCCTGCTTCTGTACAGAAAAGCTTGTAGGGTAGATTAGAAAACCTAGGGTAGTGTCCTTGGAAACAGGAGTGGACACACACACACACACGGCTAAAGTACAGTTGCAAGGTTCCAAATATGTGTTAATGCAGAAACACTTACGCCAGCCAGCTATAGATTAGATTAAATAAATATCAAGTGTGTATGCCTTCATGTGTTAAACATACGGCAATGATTCTTGTTTCTTCAACTGAGCTTCGGGTCAATTCTGAAGCTTAAATCACTGTTAAGCATCAACTGAAAAAGCAACAAGTGAAGATTGTATCTTTAACTTTAAGACCTTTTTTCCCATATAAACCAACTCAGACAACAATGCATCTCTTCATCGCTTCTTCTCGCGACCGACCTCCGGCATCCCCATCCGATCTCCACCAATATCCTTCGAGGAGGCTCTCTCTTCCATCGCTACGGTGCGCACCTTCGGTGGGCAGATCTATGAGCAACGAAGGTTTCAGGAGACAGTGGAAGATCGGTCCAGGTCGAACGCGGAAGATCGGTCTGGATGGTTAGGGAAGGTCGGTTTGATGGCACGGAACAGGGGAGTGGGATGCATTCCAGTAAATCGAATTCTGATGTGAAACTGGGCATTGGATGGACTGTCCAACAGCAGGACCAGCACGATTGGGACACTTCATTTTGATATTGCAAGTCATACTTTGCACATGATTCAGTTGACTTGAGCTTTGGTGGAAATACTACAACCATCCAATGCCCCTGGAGCTACTGATGGGTGCTCTTTGCTTGCAGGGTACTCCACCAGTACCAATTTCCAGTGAAGCTACCTCATCCAACCGAATTCAGCGAGCTTTTTCGGATGGCCAGGTCGAAACCTCGCAAAATCACTCGATGCTTTTTCCGTTGCAATACTAGGCAAGACCCTCCTTCCTGATCCTCCAAGGATGGGAGAGACTTGACGCCGGGCCCCAATCTGACGCACCGTTGTACCTCGCTGGGCGACGAAAAGACACCCGAAGCAATCCCGACCCGCGCCCGAAAGGTTTTGGGGAGCATCTACTTGCGCCCGAATCGACTCTGAAAGGTGAATGGTTTTTGGGGGTGCAAACTTTCCAGACTCCGTTTTGCCGAGCCAAGATGCTCCAGAAGTGGTCGGGTCCCATGATGCTTATAGGATAGATTAGATACATACTGTACTAGACCCGAGTTCATTGCCGGTTCCGACTCCAGGAGAATTTACAGAAGTTCTACCACTTGGAGAGCCGCCGAGCTAAGGTGCCCCACATGTGTCCGACAGACACATGAGTGGCTGTAGCACAATGAAACGTCACTGAAGATCAAACATCTCAGGATACTGTAGGGTGGTGCAGGCATCATTAATTTTTAGTTCATCCTGACCTTGCTGGTGATCCGAAATCGAATCCTGTGAGATGTTGTTTTGTCACTTCTTGCTGAAGGATCTAGAATCTAGGCCAACGGAATTTAACTTCTGGAAGGACAGGGGAACCTAATATTGTTAACTTATAATATATATATATATATACAATGCATTATAACTAAATATATCATAATATATCTAATATTATTATATGTTATATAGTTATAATCTACATATGATCTATTCTGAGTCGGAAAGTCGTGTCATTTCCGGCAAAGTCCGAACATGACACCGTTTTTTTTGTTTCCCCTTCTTTCAGAGGCTGGCCCACGCCCACCGACCGTCAGGTCTACATTGGTTACCTCTTTGTGATCATGATGCTCCTTGCCAGAACCATGTGTGCGGCACCCATGCAAAGTAGGACATACCCATGTGTTCAGCACAATTTTGCGCGTGATGGGTGCCATGAGAATTGGGAGACCACCCACCAGTGCTTCAAAAGTTCCTTGTTCCCCCACTCGAACCCCAGTTTCCCGCTGTGGTACCCAGCAGGTCAATGCTTGATTGCACCGGATCATTTTGATGCTAGATACGCATGCGACGTGTACTTGCAAGCAGGGGTCAGGAGTTCTTCCATACCAGCTACCACTCCGATCCGTGAACTGAGCCCTTTTCTTGTCCTGAACCACCTGTCCAAGCACTTGAGATCAACTCCTTCCCTTTGGACCAGCTGCGCATCTGACGCCTCAGGTTACCGCACTTGTCCAATTGCCTCGTGCTCTTCCAGATTGGACACCCGGCAGAAGTCAGGACAACCCGGCAGAAGTCCAACAGCTTTGGATCCTGAATTCATTCACTAGTGTTGTGCAGAAGGCGGATGCAATACTAGCTGCTATTGAAGTGGATCTACTGCACACAGATACAAATAGTTTCAGGCCAGCAAGAAACAACGTAACACTGCAGTTTCTCATGTTTCTTGAGGCTACTCAAGTCATTTTTCCTGTTTGTTGAGTTCCAAAGTCTACGTCCAGCGGCAGGCAACAGCCGTTTTTGGTCTAGGTCTCTCAATCCAAGATATATGTGCTGTAAATGAGGTTGAGCGGTCATCCTTGCGTTCACATCCAGAACGCGGTTTTTCCTCTGGCGCCTTCCACTGGGACCCTCCATGGCAGGGGTTTGGACCCCGAAAACCCTGTCTATTTGAGGGCCCGGATTCTTACGGAGGTTTTCAATACAACCGTGGTGAGAACTGGGGGGACCCCTCTGTTTTTGCACCTTTCGATCTGCGTGTTTTTCCTGAGGTCGTTTGTGTGTGCAGGGTTTGTCGGCACCTGTGCTGCTAGCGTTTGTGTTCTACTTGCAAACCTTGACGCTTGGATCCGAGCTGCTGGTGGCAGGATCGGGTAGCGAAGGGCAAACGTCGGCCATGCAATAGGGGGTCCAGATCGATTTGGAGGTTTGAAGGAGCTCTTCACTTCTTTAGTAGTGCCTATACCATGGAAGGCCGTTTTCTAGATGCCCGTTTGTGAGATTGTTGTAACAGCAGTGTTGCTTCCAGACAATCATGATTCTTGACAATGTCATATTAATTATGATATCATCATGTTTTGCCCAAGCCAAGACATACACAAACCAACCGTCTTGTCATATGCGCAGATGTCCGGCCCCGATTGGTTTCTTGCGGTTGTTTGACCTTTTCCGTGTTTGACTTGTTGCTTTGTTACACCATCGGTAATACCATCCACTTTTCCCAAAGAACTATGATGCCTGCAGGTCATACCATTGGACGCTGTCGAACAGTCCTGGACCAGTTCTTGGACCATTTTTGTGAGCACTGTGGATCCCGTGGATCACCCCAAAAAAGATATTGTTTTTCCATTTGAATGTGGAAGGAGATTCCCCCACCAATGGCATGCAGTGGGTTTGTGTTTTACCTTTACCATCCTTTCCCCGGTGGTTTCTGGGGCTTCCTATTTGGGACCCCATTTGCAACGTGCGGGAAACTCATCCTCTCTGACATACCCGTGGATACAACCAAAGGCCCCTTGTCAGATTACGTGGTACCATGGGGCTGATTCAGGCTCTCACTAGGCTGGATTGATCCGCTCTCGCGTGCATGGCCCAAGGAATGGTTGCTTCAATTCATTGGTGCCTTGGAGTTTTGTGCTATGTGTGCGTGTGTGTGCGCTAGTTGGCTGGCATCCATATTCGAAACAGACGGGCATGTATCCCTCAAACAAGTTCCTGCACTGTAAATATGAAGTACACCCACTGGACCACTGCTTCACTCGACGTGATGGACGGCCACCTTCTCAGAATCACTTTCTTAATCTTTCTTCGATCGTGGTTGGGCCCGCCAGGTTGGCATTTTGCCAGTGGTCATGGGGACAATGACTGTAACGGTGTCATTGATCCGGTACAAAGAGTCCAGGGCCACGTAGGCCTCGAACGGTTCAGCTTTTGAGTTCTGGAGCTCGCATAGAGTTGTGTTCGACTCGAATGGGTACCCAGAGAGGCCAGGGTTCATCGTGACTAAATCCGTCGCCACCCTCGTGGCCGACCGAGGAACACGTCACCCACCATCACCCACCCACCCACCCACCCACCCTGCATCCTTCATCATGTGTTTGCTCACAGATCCTTCGAAATTGGCTCACCTATTGGCGGAGATGTCGGCCTTTCGCCGTCCAAGGCAGACATCTACACGAACATCATGCAAGCCCTGGGCTCTGCCACCCGAGTCTTTGAGTTGGTGCATCGGACACCCAGGCCGTCTTCCTGTGTGTGTTAAGCGCCCAGCATCACGACGTGAAGCACGGGGCCGAAGGTATTTTCGAGGTCCTGGGTGTTCAGCAGGGCGTCATGAGTGCGAAAGAGGGTTGGGAAGATGTTCTTTTTTCTGTATAACATTGTACTGCTCCAATCCGCCCGAAGAGATCCCTTGACATACATCGAGCATTAGTTAGGAGAGAAACTTCAGATTTTCCCGTGGCCCGTAACCTGCAACCTAAGCTTTTGAATCCTCCACACTTGTTTGCATATAAAATATGTTTCCATTATAGAATATTATAGAATGGCCTAACTCAGGTCATTCTATAACCACAAAATGTGCTACCTATCTGGAGTGCATAATCCGCCTTTTGTCCGGCGTTTTTTTTTTGTGTCAATGCTTTTCGTTGTGAAAGTTGCGGTTCGCAGCCCAAGTTCACGAAGTTTGTCGACACCTCATGCAAACCTGAGGAAGGTATAGGAACTGATATAATACATCCCTATCGATCGAAGTGGACCTTTGGCAGGCAGCAGCTGCAAAACTTGGGCGGGGAAATCCCCAAGGAGCTGGTGCGAGGGCATATCGAGCTGAAAGACGTCTCCTTTAGCCGCTTTGCTTGGAAGGACTGCCTCCATCCTCCACCTCAAATCGATGAGAAGAACGAGGAACCACCATTGGAGCTACCAAAACCTCCCAAATGGATGGTTCAGTGGGAACGCCCATCATCCAGCATACGAAAATCGATAGTCTACCAGGTTTTGAACTGTAGCTCATTTGGGGCCACCGGTCCTAATACCACTGATGCTTCAGGGAAATCACCAAAGGCTCGATTCTTCGTGAGAGCTAATATCCGAGATGTGACGCAGGCATTCAACAAGAGACTCAGACTACCCAATTGCCAGTGTGTCCGCATGTGGACAGCGTGTTTTCAGCGTGACTTTAACGGAGCCTGTGCAGTGACAAGTGAAAATACATAAATGCATGAACATCCACCAGGACCTGAGCCGTTCATGACCTGTTTGGAGTCTTTGTTTGTAACCTTTCGCGGGCCTGTTTGTGCCCTCATCCTGGTTAGTCCTTTGAAGGTCCTGGCATAGTTGTTTCAACGTTGCTTTGGCTATGCTAGACGTCGCATCGCTGCCTTGGGCCTCAAGGCTATCCTGCACACCCTGAACGTCTGGTGCTGCAGAACTTAAGTGTCTTTGTTTGCAAGAAGGGTTTCTTTGGAGTGTAGTGACCCCCGGATTCACTCAGACACCGGTAGAATTGGGACATTTTAGGTCCTTTTAGGTGACCAAATGCGTGTGTTTGTGGTGCTTGGTGTATTTTTATCCTAATTACTTGGCTTGCAATTGCTTTCGTGAAACTTGTTGCTTTTGATACGAGTCCCGTGACTCGTGGGCACATCCCGTGTTCGGAGCGATGTCAGACTGACGGGTCCGGCACATCGGTCGGTCAGAGGGCGGTGTTTCCGTGTTCCATGCGAAAGCTTGGTGGTATTTTTGTTTAAGCGATCCGGTTCAAGAGCCAGAGACCAACTCTGTTGTCATCATAAGAAGCTGAGTGACCTGGACCACAGAAACACCCCAAAAGGTTTGAGTCGACTGCACCCAAAATCAGGGGTTCTTCGTGGGTTGCACGACGGCCATCCAGTGGATCCGGCCAGGCTTGGAATGCCCTCCTGGGAAAGCCATCGTCTTTCAGCGGCGTTTTTGAGAGCGGCGGAGATTTATCGGGGAGGAAACTTGCAGACTTGCAGAGGTGAGTTGTTTTCAACGTTTAAAGCATTTTGCAATGTGTTTCCTGGACGTCAGTTTGCACTTGCGTCCACTCGTGCAGAAGTGATCCACAACCTGTCGCATTTGCCCTCTCCGAAATCCGCAGCAGCGCTTTGGACCATCCCAAGCGAAATCATCCTTAAAAAATCCCACCGCCCTCTCCCTGCTACAGTTGCTGGGACCTCCACGAAGGAAAACGTCCGCGAACCCAACCTGGGCGCCAGAGGCCTTAGTGGGCCCCAGTGGTGGCGGAAAATCCACCTGTGTGGCCTTGATCCAACGTCTCTATGGACCTCACCAGGGACATGTGCTGCTGGACCAGCGAGACACTCGGCTGACCTTGGAGGAACGAGGAGAGGAAGAGCAGGGCACAGCCCAGCTAGCATGTTTAGCCATAAGAGAAGGGTAGATTGTTTTGGGTAGCTCCTTCGTGTGCACAGTCGTTAAAAGGCTATTGGTTGATCATGTTTGTACATCCCACCACTGGCCCACCACAATAGGGAAGGCTTAAACAAACATGCTGTAACATGCTGCATATGCTGGAATCTTGAAGAGGGTCTCTCAATTCGATTTTCCTACACCGACATACTCAGCTACTCTCCAGTCTTTGGCGGATGGTCTCTTGTTATTTATATAGCCATGCGGGTCCATTGACCGTTTGAGAACTAGACAGTGGTTCTCAGTCCGTCCTCTTCCACCGCTTCATGGGCGAAAAGCCCACGAATGCAGTGCTTCATCCAAGGATGTCTTGGAATATGGTGAAAACTACACGGAGCTGGTCTCTGCTGTAAGCCAAGAGCCCCTGCTCTTCGGGTGTAGTATCCGGGAGAACATCTTGTATGGCCTACCGGACGACCATCCGGCCACTGGGATGATAAGTGGCTGTTGACAGGTGGGCTCTGGGCTGGGGTATGAGGAGGTTTTCATTTGATGCATATGCACACCAACAGTGAAAGAACAACATGAAAGAATCAAAACCAAACAAATGCACCAGCGTGCACCCGGTTGAGTTTATCAGCAAACAGCAATATGCTGCAATACTTATCTCACTGTAGTCCGATGGTGTACTTGGGCGCCCTTCACCGGCCACGCTCCTTCTGGTTCACGTCCACCGGAGACGCCTCGCGTTGTCGCCCCCCTCCGTCAGGCCCGGACGGACGCCTTGTCGCCGGACGTGGTCTCCGCCGCATGCTTGGCGAACGCGCATCACTTCATTCAGCAAATGCCGCGTGGTCTCCGCGGTCTCGGGTCGTCGGTGGATGCGGGTGATTGACCGGGGAGGGTGATCCAACGGTGAGACCATGGACGATTCAATGACTATCGGAGCCAATCCACCGTTGGTGTGGCCAAGACCCAAATTCATTGGTCAATGTCGATGACTAGTGACATCTAGTGACCGTTGGATGGCTACTGGTGGATTCAAGCCACTCTTGACCCAATCTTGGCCCAATGCCTCCACTATTGACCCAAGCTTCCCCGTATCAGTTCGGGAACCCGACATTCTTCGTCACCCGGTTTCGCCCGGTTTCACGTCTTCTTCACGTACTGAACTAGCACCAACTACTGTAGATGGCACCAACTACTCTCAACCCACTAGCTAGATTGAACGGACGACCAAGTGGACTTGGTCCAGGGCCGATGGCTATGACTCCTGTGTAGGGGAGCGCGGAGTCCAGCTCAGTGGCGGCCAGAAGCAGCGGATTGCCATCGCCCGGGCTTTGGTGAGGAAGCCTCAGGTCGGTTTCGCGTTTCGATCCGGATGGGGCTGGGCCATGCCTCGCGTGACGCGCTTGGTTGTGATATGAAAAAAACACATGTCATTGCAACAACACTAGCAGCTACAACTCCACCACGGGCGACAGCAATCACCATAGTGACATGTTGCTTAGAAGAAGTCCCACTTGCCAAGGACTGTTTGGATCCCACGAAGTTTCCTTTGAATTGGGCACACGCATTGAGCCTGCGTTCAAGCATCATTTTGGCCACTTGCTCCATTTCCCATAGGACAGTCAGCAATTACCCGCTCGATGACGGTTGCCTTTATTGGTTGTATGACATGTGAGACTTGTCTTTCTTTCAAGGCACACAACGGGAGTCGTCTCATGGCTTAGCCCCTCAACCGAACCTGCGTGGTCCGTCGTGGTTCGTGGTCGTCCGCGGTCGTCCGTGGTCAGGTCTTACTGCTGGATGAGGCGACCAGTGCGTTGGACGCCGAAAGCGAGCTCCAAGTGCAGCCGCTCAGTGAGGATATGTTTTTTTTGGATGAGTTTGTTTGTCTTCAGATATGTTAATGTTCAATCAACTTGACTGAGCCCGCTGACTACGTAATATGTTTCAAGTGAGTTGAAGCCACTTTCAATTTGGTTGTGAGGGGTTCTCATTCCAAGTCGACGAAGGAACCCGTCCAGCCATGTGTCCTGGCTCCTTTCGGGGTCCTTTTAGGGTCTTCGTTAGAATGGCAACCTTCTGGCCACTCTATGTTTCAGTTACAGTAGTTGTTGTTTTTTTTATCCTAGCAAGGTTCAAGCTGGCTCCAATTGAAGGAATGAGTACGTAGTCAGGGTATTCATTTTAACATATTTCACCATCCCTTCAAACCCTTCTTAAACCCACAAGTTTTGGTTGTGTTGATTGGGTTTGGGGTGTCATGTTTGTTGAACCATATACAACCCCTTAAAGACCCAACCCTGTCACCCATGCAGTCTGATTGTCTTTTGGTGCAGTCAGGTGGGGGGTGAATAGAGGATGGGCAGAAGACAGGAACTGTTCCTTCGAACAATTTTGTGGAGGCCTTCTTGATTTGAGAAGGAATTCACTCACTTCCCTGGTGTCTTGGGATGTTTTTGAATGTTTGATTGCACAAAACTGTTAGACGGCGGAAACAAAAAATACCGGTGACTCCGGGTCGGCAGCTCAGAGAAGGGCACGGTACTGTAGATAGATGAAGCGGTGAAAATGTCTTGCTGGCTTGGATGTTGGGATATTTCTCAGTTCAGACCCCAGCTCCTTACATGCCAGAATTTTTATGTGGTGGTTTGCAGTGTTGCATAGCTGGTGCTCACTTGTGTTTGCTTCATCCAAAGCTAATCACAGAACCTAAAACATAAATCTCACGCAGAAGAGTTCAGTAGTGAGATCAGTATATACGCATGCCGCATGTCACATATAAACAATATATTTATATATATTATATATGTATATACACAGCAGATACGTCTAAGAACAAGCTGCTTTGATGTTCCATGTCGATCTCCAAAGGTATCATGTTTGTGTACCACAAAACAAAGACTTGCCAGGACCGTGCAACAGGTCACCACTCACCACCCACAAGCTTCTTTTGAAGGCTGCTAATGCTAATGCCCTTTTGTTTCAAAACTAAAGACTTCTAGAAAGAAGGTTGTTGTATATCACTCCTATTTTCTGATGTTCACATTCTCATTCACCTCATTCCTCACATGTTTGCACACCATCCTATGAATCCATCGCCCCGCTTCAACGCCCTTCAATCAGTGTTTGTTTGGACTAGGATGGCCATCAACAACTTGGTGGCACACCATGACATGACCGTGGTGATCGTGGCCCACCGGCTCTCCACCGTCAAGAAGGCCGACGTGATCTACGTCATCGCACCTCGGAGGGAACTCGTTCGTCCTTCCCTGCGGAGGAACCGGAACATGGGCAGCGGGCGCTTCGTTCGGGGCTCCTGGCCATACTACTAGGAGCAAGTAGCTACTAGGAATGGTTTTAACATGTTTTAAACAAGACATCTTCCACCACGGGGTCAGTCCACCCCATGTTCGTTGGTCGAGGTATGTGTATAACGATGTACAAAATAGATATTCGTCGGATTTTGTCGGTTTGATCATGCAGTTGGCATTGTTACAATCCACTGGAACATATTCGATGAGCCATGAATCATGAATAACAGTGAATAGCCACCCAAATGGTTCATGTCCTTCATGTCGACCCATGCAGGTTCAGGCGGGTTTGGCGGTTCAGGCGGGTGAAATTCGGCCCTCGAAAGCCGATGGGTCTGTTGATGGGGGGCCGCAGAAGGGCCTCTCTCGTTTTGAAGGTTTGAGGATGACACTCAGGCCATTGTAATCCGAATTGCAGCATACTCAAACATGCTCGGTATCCGGTACGGGTAAAAATGCAACATGTGTGTGCACGTTTGTCGACTGAGTTGATCAAGACGTCGGATGTCTCACCCAATTGTTCAATGGCCGTGCTTTGAAACCACACACATGTTGCTAGTAGCTCTTCAACATCCTCTTAGTGTCTTGCAGGGTACACAAATACGAGAACGATCTAAGGGGCAATGAATCAGAGCGAATGTCGTCGCAGTGTCCACGGTGTCGTCGTAGTGCCTGCTGAATGCATCGCCTTGTCTTAGGAGAATGGCCGCGTGGTGGAAGAAGGCAGCCACCAGCAGCTACTCTCGCTGGATGGCCACTACCGCCGCCTTGTGGACAAACAGCTCCGCGCCTAGGTCGGCGGCCGATATTTGCGCTGCGTTGAAACATGTCCAGATGCTAGCTGCTAGGCAATTGGTTGAGTAGTGCACTTGGAGGCATCGGCGGCAGAATCATATATAGGATGTTATAGGAATGTCAGAATGTCAAGCATTTTTCCGCATGTGTTCTTGGACAAATGATCCAGAATGCACATCGGGTCAGACATGCATACGCTAAGCCAATGAGTCAAGTTTTTGCTTCGTTGACTGGAAGAAACTGATTTGGATATTCTCTACAAGCATCGATTGAACGTATACTTCTATGAAGATTTGGTTCGGATGTGTATCATTTCTTAGTAAATCCAGGACCCCAGCTGGTAGGGGGACCATAGTCTACCCCCTCGGCGGCGACGTTTGTGTGAAAGAGGGTGCGTCCACCTTCGGCCAGGCGTGGAAGACCCTTCGGGAAAGGTGTGAAGTCACATTTTCATTCGGCGGGTTTCCAGTAGTCCTCCAGTAGCTTTTAATAGTATATCTCAGTACCAGCATTCCCAGGGACATCGCAAACCAGACAGAAGGCGACATTTGACGCTGCAAACATAATATTCGGGGTGCCCAGGATATGGGTTGGTTGAACATGGTTCCACCAGTGATAGCCACTCTGCAACCAGGCCATACATGGGCATACCATAGGTGGGAATAAGAAGGAATAGTTCATTGAACAGAAGGTTAAACATGGTTTAACAGAATTAAGGAATTGTTGTATGAATTTCAAGAGTTCTTATAATGGTTTGAAAAATATTGCAGCATGTTTCACAAATCAGATTCTGATCGATTTTGGGAAGGACACCTGTTCATGTTGGAATGGTGTAGCCCTGAGAGTTTGATGTCTATATGCGCTGCTGGAGGATTGCGGCTTTTTCAAGTGTCGAGCAGGGCAGAGGATGCCTTGAATCACACAACTTTCGAATTCTCCACCGATTTCGGATATCACTAGGACTAGGACTGGCTTGAGAACTCAGTAGATGGGGTGTGTGGAGAAGGAGAAGGAGACCTCAGCTGGGTCACTGGACCTTCTCGATCGACCGAAATGAGAAGTGTCCCCCATTCGACGCAGTCCATCATCCCCGCCACGCTTCCATCGATGGATCTGCGTGAATTCGATGGATCCGCCTCGCGCTTCGGAGGTTTGTGAGTGTCTCATGGGGCGAAAAAGGGGCACGCGATTTGTTGGTTGAATCGTTCCCTGAAACACACAACGCATGGGCACGCGATTCGGCCCCACAGAACTGAAGATCTTCCTCCTGTTCGAATGTATTGTATTTGTTGTTTCTGGATATTATATTGTCAGTACTGCGCGTACTGTGCTTCCTTGTGTCTTTTTGGTGCAAGTAAGACTGGAGAGGGGGGTGATGGTTCGTGTGGTGTTGCTGATTTGTTTCATTGTTTGCCAGCTTCCAGTCCCAGTGTAGTCAAGGACCGGGTGGACTGCGAATCGTATCCTATGTATCTCAAGGAAATTACTTATCACAGTTTGGCTCTCATTGCTCCCATGACAAGCCATCGGAGCCATGGGGCCATGGGGCGCATCACATAGCCATGGGAGCCAGACCGGGCGCTGGTGGACCGACCGGACACGACCGGGCACGAACCCATGGTGGAGACGAAGACCGGACGGTTGGTTGGTTGGTTGGTTGGACCTCGCTCGCTACATGATGTTGGACCTGCCAGGTTGAACGACCCGGTCCCGGACCGTGTAACACTCCATGGATCGAAGATATAACACTATATATACCAGCAACCTCCGACAGGTCTCTTCAAGAGACCTGCTCTAACAGGCCACTTCAAGATAGCTGTTGGAGGTTGCTGGTGTATATATATACATATATATATATATGGATATATATATAATATATGAATACAATATATGCATACATTGACCCCGACTTCAACCACCCCATTTGATCGGCAAATATGGCAGTCCCATCAGTCGTGTCTGGGATATGAGTTTCATGATGATCAATTTCAAACCGTGTCCTCCGACGAAGCGACGAGCAATTTCAGCACTGACAAGCAGGTCCGGGCTGCTCTTGGATGCTTTGGTCCACCGCCTGTACCGTACATTCTACTGATTTCTACTACTGTATATATATATATAATATATATTGATATACAAAATCAAGCAACATCATGCGGTTGCCCGGGTGCCCTTTTCATGACAATGAGTGTCCTGACAGCTCGCAGAAGCTTGGGCTAGCGCTGAGCGCCCATCGGTCGACCGTCCAATTCGGTCGACCGCATCGTGTTCCCGTCGATTTTGTTTTCAGACATGGTGAACAGAGACGTTTCCCTATTTGATGTCACTTCCGTGGGTCATTTTGTTTGAGTTGTGAAGATTACTGTATATAAAACAAGAACGTGTATGAAGCAAAACAAGGAACACATGGCACCCAGACAAATGTTGTGGATTGTCATGATTTTCTGTCGACTTGACTTGAAGAATGTTATTGTTATTCCATTGGATCTCTTGGGTATTGCGTGTATCTACCCTCTACACTCACTGTGTGGAAACTTGAGTGAGCTTCATCACCCGAGCTCGCCTTACTTCTGGAATTTGCGGATAACTTCCAGAAAGCACCTGGACCAAAATGCATTGTCGAATGCTCACCCCCAACTTTTTAAAGTCAAAATCCGAGCCTGCAAAGGCAGTGGTCGGAGAGCCCATTTGAGCGGCTTGCCTGGCTCCGACAGTCTTCCTCGCGCCGGTGACACCTTCCAGCTCGCGCGCGAGAACGTTGAAAAGCAGCAGAAACTCTGAAGCTGTGTCCCGCTTACCCCCCGTTGCAAACTGCTGTGTGTCGGGTTTGGCCAGAAAGTACAGGTGCCCACAAATTGGCACGGCGGAGAGAGTGCCGTAACTGGTGTTTCCTTGCATCCAGCGTATAGGTGTGGGTATGATGGTCCTTCAGTGTCAGGAAGCACCGTTTTTGTTCAGGCCCTGGAACTCTTGTAATGCGGCACTTTCAAGTGTGCCGACGGTTTTGTACGGTGAGTGCCTCAGTCCCAACAGGACGGTCCTAGACTGGACCTTTCAAGCAAATCGTATGACACCAATAGATAAGACCCTTGCAGACTACTTAGAGTTCACGAGTCGCACCTATGTTGCTTTGTGAGGGAGTTGTGCCATCTTATTATATTGTGCAGTTAAAACAAGTTCACTGATTTTAAGCTATCCTGTCCTGGATCAGGCGTCCTGCTTGGGAAATACAGAGTGATGAACAAGAAGGCAGCTACATGCAGCTACTTCAGAAGGTTTGTTTTGATAATATTATAGTGAATTCATGGTGCTTAACTCCTTTCCACGTCCACCAGCACAGCACATAATTTGTCTTACCTGCTCTATGCATTTGCCGAGGCTCCCATTGTCAGAGCACAAGGCACCGGCACGGGAACAGGCGAGACAATAACACACCTGGGGGGGGTAAATGTAAGGCATAGCCATTTGCTTGCTTGTAAAGGCTGGCTTCAAGCAGCTGTATTATGCGGTATTCACTTCAGTATATCCAAGCTTTTGTTGGCAGTTGGTATCGGTCTTGTTGTGAAAGCACACCACAGATCGCTCTGGATCGGTGCATCTGTGGTGCGATTGCAGCAGCTGCTGGTGTTTTGCCTAACCCCCCTGCCGAAGCAGTAAGACCATGAGCTTTATCAACCTCCTCAATTTACCGGGCGTCCGACTGATGGAGGCCCAGGCCCCCTCTAATGAGCAGAGCTGTCGAGCCTCGCAATCATGTACCACCTTTGCTGATGTTGAATGAACATCCATCCCACAGGCGTTTGGGAAGAAAGACCACCAGTCACGTGGAGGTCGGAATAGTATATAGTATATGTCTGGAACACCGCCGTCCGTGGCCTAAAACGGTTTGGCAGTTAGCCACCAGGTGAGGCAGACACGTGCCGTCAGGAACATGCATGAGCAGATGGTTTGGTGCCAAAGATCTTTGAAGGTAAAGGTCAGTAAGCCAGTCGACCTGGAGGGTGTGCCCAAGTTTGGAGAAACGGCAGTGGCATCGTGTCTTACCGCCTGTGAGGCTCTTGGTATACCTGTACCATCCTGTACCTATACTCGTACATTTTGTCTTACTGCAGTATAGTATTATATAAGTAACTTGAACCTGAGTGACCTCTATGTTGGACCACCAACCACCCACAATGTTGTCTTTTCCCAGCCAACATTGTGGTCTTTCATGGATTCATACGGGT